GCTCACCTCTTGCCCCGCCCCTCCTTTCCTCCCTCTTCCAGGCTGAGAAAGATGCTTTCATCCCGTTCAAGGGAGTCAAAGGGTTTAATGGTCTCAGCAAATCTGTGGTATTTTAAACTTCAGAATTACAGTTGACCCTCGCACCAAACGGGGGTGAGGGGCGCTCGCCCACTGCACAGTCCAAGCGAATCTGTGTATGAGTGACAGTCGGTCCTCCAGATGCGCGGTTTCTCCGAATCCGCGGTCCAGGACCCACAGATTTAACCAACTCAGATCGTACAGCGCTGTAGCATCTACTCATGACAAAGGTCTGCGTGTAAGTGGACCCGCTCAGTTCAAACCCGTGCTGTTCATGGGTCCACTCTATTTTCCAACTTGTTATGACCTGAAATGGCCACCAGCAAAAGCAACCCTGGGGCCTGAGGGTGTGCATCTTAACAGGGCCACTTCATTTGGGGAGACACAAAGGGTTTGTTAAAGGATCTTGCCGAAGAACGCCCTTGGTATATTTATCAGTGGTTCGATGTATAAACAGCTCCTGAAGAATTTATTTCGTGAAGCTGAGTTCACGGTCTCTGCATACTCAAAGCGGGTTAGAAAACTCGCTGCTTCCATTGGACGCGTCGGCGCACAGGACCGCCCCCGATACACGGTTTCCAAGGCGTCCTGGGAACCCGGAGCCCCCGCAAGGCTGGGGCGGGGGAGGGGAACAACCTGCCCGCGCGTTTACTTACATCCTCAGACTCGAACACGTGGCAGATCATCTTATACTGCTTCTTCCCCTCCTGGGCCCCGGGGGTGGTCTCGATGCAGTCCTGAGAGGCTGACCGCGGCATGCGGCGTCTAGCCATCAGCACCACGATGTTCCCGATGTCCGCGATGTAGGAGATGGTGCGCAGGGCGTGGTCCATCATGGTCTCCTATCAGGAGAGGCACGAGAGGGCCCTGGGTTACAAAGAAGAGCACCCGAATTCGGGGGACTCTCAACCTCAACACCCTTGCGGTTTGGGGCTGGACCACTCTGTATTGGGAAGGGCTGACCCCGCACTGTAAGATGGTTAACAGCATCCCTGGCCTCTACTCACTAGATGCCAGCAGCATCTCCTCCTTTCCCAGTTGTGACAAGATCTCCAGCTACAGCCAAATGTCCCCTGAGGGACAAGGCCCCCAGGGTAGAGAACTTAGGTGAACAGAGCATTTTAGGGTGGTGACTCACAGTCAAGGTGATCAGACTTCACCTTGGCCGCACAGTTTCCAAAATGACACTGGTGGGGGTGTGACGCTGGGGAGGAGTGCTGGGTCCCGTGGGAGGAGGGGCAGCAGCTGGCCACGTCCCCACATGCTCAGAGGCCGCCTGTGGCTCTGGACACGGGTCCCCTTCCTGTGAGGCGGGCGCCCAGACCAGACCTCCTGCCAAGCAGAGGAGGAAGGCTTCAGAGCCAGTGTTTCCCACGGCTGAGTTTTCCCCAGGGAGCCCAAGCAGCCTGGGCCGGGTCAGGGGCCCCTGAGGCTGCTCGCCTGACTCTGATCGATGTGTCTGTGCAGCCTCTGACCTGCCTCGGGCCTGGGAGGCCCATTCCTCTCCACAGCCTTTGTCGTCTGACAGGAGTCTTCCCTGAGCATCCTGCCCGTGACCCCCACCCAAGCGGGCTGCACACAAAGGCTCTGAGAATCTCATCAGTTTGTCTTTCATGCCTTTGTTCTCTCTCCACAAAGGAAAAGCTGGCACTTCTGCAACTTCTGAAGCCTTTTTCTTCTTCCCTGAATTCACTTCTGCAGCAGATCCTGCTCCGTATTTGCCCTCCTGGAGCGGCTCTGTTCTCCGGCAGAGGAGGTAGGGTGATTCACAATCACCAGAGCCCTTCGGGAAGGGACACTGGGGCGGCGCGCCAGCATCTCTTGACTTCTGGCCACTTTCAGGAACACCTGTATCGATCTGTCGGTGTCAGTACTGTGCTCCTCCCCCAGTTCAGAGCTCAGGTCCGTGGCGGAGTCGTCTTCCTCACTGACAGAGTCTGCCATCCTCTCCCCGGCCCTGACTGGCCACGTGAGCCTCCACCGTTTCCCACATCTGTTCCCACCTCTCCAGTCCTTCTGCGAATGTTTTTTATTTTATCGTCAAACCAAGTTCCTGCCACTACTCTCCTCCAGCCCATCCTCAATAGTGCCCCAGCGCAGGTGTCAGACTCTGCGTGGCTGGACAAGTCACCCAAGCCCCGCGGCCAGGTCACCAGGCCACAGCTCTCAGAAGCTTCCTGACCTCCCACCTCTCCTTCTCCTCACTCTCGGCGACCCCAGAGCCTGCGGGGGCCAGTGCTTGGTCAGCCCATCTTTAGGGAGTGCTGTGCCACCCGCCTTCGCTAACCCTTTTTAACCTTCCCTCTCCCCAAGGCCAGCTCTGAGGGTCCCCGTGTGTTTAGATGAGGGAATCTGGCCTCCCTGACTCAGGGATGCCATCATGTCCGCCTGAGCACACAGGTGGCTGGGTTGGTCTCATCTGCCCAGTAGGACGGTGGGCTCCTCGGGAGCAGGGCACATCTGCTTCCCCCATCAGCCCCGACTTCCCGCAGCATGGCAGAGGTTCCCCAGCAGCTGAGCACCGCGGGCAATGACTCAGGCACCAGCTGGTCTCCAGCAAGAAAAGTCATCAACGTTTCCATCATGGAGAACGAACGATTGCCCCAGATCTGTTCCCCGACAGTGTGCGCAAACACCCCGTGTTCTCGCTCTCTCTTCCTCACCTCTTCAGCTAAGGGGGCTGGGACCCCAACTACCCCGGGGCTTTTCTTACCAGCTCACAAGAGAGCTGCTCCCTGCAAAGCAAATGCAGCACGAGGCCACCAGCTCTCACCCCATCTACAGGCTTGGTGGAGGGGGTGGGTGGGCACTGGGAGGGAGAGGCAGGCTCTCCCTGCTGGCTGGGGAGCTGCCTCTCCTGGGGGATGAGGACTCCCCACGTGGGGGACCCCAGCCATGCTGATGCACAGAAACATGGGGAGGAGGAGGAGATGAACAAAGACAGAGTGAGACTCTGGGCAGCAGACCATGTCACCAATTGCCAAAGTGAGGAGAGATTGTTAAGAGACTGGGCAGCCGGATGGGTCAGAGCGACCAGAAACCAAACCAAAAGTCTGAGAGCTTTCTACTGGAAAACAGGAAATGACAACCTCCTTTAAATACCTCGGCCAAGCAGAGGTGAGGTTGGATCAGAGCATTGGGAGGACTCTTGAAGCTGATTCTCAAAGACCGCCAGTGTGGCCCCTAGGAAGACCATAACCAGCTTGCCTCCTGCCCAGGAGTCTGCTGCAGATGCGGAGTCTGGTGAGATGTTGCTGGTCGAGGGCCCTGTGCTGCTGGTCTGGGAGGTTGTCCCTGCTCTGCCCTCCCCCTGCCTGGCACCTTCGGCCAACCCCGTGGCTGTGTACCTGAGCCCAAGGTGGCCTCTGGCCTCCCAGGACGTCTGGCCCACTGGAGATCAGGGGAGTATCTCATCTCCCCCAGATCCAAGTCGTCAGCCACACGTCCCTGGGATGGCCCGAACAGAGGGGAAACTCCGAGGTCTCCTGCTCCGTGGCTGTGGAACATTCCTGCCCACAGAGACCTGGGAAGCCATGGGCACCTACAGCAGCCACTGGAGGGTCCTGCACGGTCTCCAGGGTAAGAGCTGTGACCTGGGGGTGCAAAGTGTGAGGACAGAGAGCAGCGGGGCAGGGGCCCTGGAGGAGAGGGCCCTAGATGGCAACAGAGCCACACCCCTTGGGGATGGGAAGATGCCAGGAGGTCCAAGGTCGCTGTGATGCACAGCTGAGCGGGGCCCACAGCTAGGACTCCCACAGAGACTCTGAAGACCGACACGGAGAAAGCAGGGCTGCAGGAAAAGCACAGCAGGGCAAAGAGCAGACACAGACGGTCAGAACTGCAGCCCAGCCCTGCTGTGTCCCCAGGAGGTGGGCACCGGCCACAAGATGCTGGTCCCAGCACGGCTGCATTTCAACGTAACCACGATGCTGCGTGCGGCCGGCAGGAGGGAAAGTCCATTGTGCTAAGGACTGATCTCGAACGGGCAGGCAAAGGAAATCGCAGCCTCTGGCTCTGTCCACTCTCGTGAGTTGATGCCCTGTCCTTGGTGACGGCTTTAATGTCAGGCCCTGTTTAGACACCAAAGACCTGGAAGGAGTGAAGGGCGGGCCGACAGGGAGGGGCCGGCAGGTGTGAGCCCCGCATGGAGCCTCCTCGTGTACCCTCTGCAGGGCCCAGTGTGAGGCTCTCCTGGAGAGTCAACGGGGCTCCAAGATGTTCGGGAACTTGTCCGAGGCCTCGAGCCCACAGGGGTGGCCCAGTTCCTCCTCCCAGGCCCCCGGTCCTGCCGCTGGGTTGCAGCACTTGCCGGAGCATTGGTGAGAGGGGGCCCGACACCACCTTTGGAAAGACTTGCCTGCAGGTGGCCCTCGGCCCCTCTGGGGACTTGGATTTCAGGAGGGTGTCCGCCACCTGACCTGCTAAGAGTAGCTCGGCACACCTGAGACATTAGGGCAGGCAGCGCGGCCCAGCCTGAACCCCTGCTCGCCTTTGGGAGTCTGGAACGTGGATACCTGGCAGGAGAGGTGTGTGACCAAGTCCAGCAAAGACCTTGGGCGCCGATGCACTCCAAGCACCCCTGGTGGCCCGCACTTCACACAAGCTGTCACAGCTCATTGCTGGATGCACAGTTCAGTGCATCCCTCCCGACCTCCCCGGGAGAGGACTCGTGTTTCCCGGGGCTAAGCCCCGCACATCTGCTCCTTTGCTGGTTTTGCTCCGTATCCTGTGGTCGCAGCAAGGCACAGCCTGGGAGGCCTCTTCTCAACTGATTGCCCTTGGGGTGGTCCTGGGGGCCCCGGCAGGTGGGGAGGTGAGGGCTGGGGGCCAGAGGAGTGGGAGGGAGGAGCAAGCGTAGACGGTTTGCCCACGAAACACCAGGAAACAAAGTGTGAGTCTGAGAAGTCCTACTCCTGAGCCAGTCAGGTGGCTTCCTGCCGTCCCGCCCAGTGCACGGCCCTGGTGTGGAGGTTAGCAGGACACAAAGACCAGT